AGTAATATCTAAATTATTAAATTCTTAAAGTTCAATAATAGTAAAATAGATAGTTAACTGTACACAAAGTGATTAAAAGGTAAAGGTTTAAATATGAATATAAGTAAACTACAGCAATACAAGTATACCTATAAATGTAGATCTAATAAGAAAAACAATAAATAAAGAAGTTAAAAAAAATGAACAAAGAGCAACAGGAACAAATTAGAAATAATAAAGAATATTTTGCAAAGAGAAATATACTTCAGAATGTACGGTCTGAACTGAGAAAAGGCACCACGTTGGGCGCCAATGTAACAAAAATGGATTGGCTGGAGCGCCATTATAACAAGAATGTGTAGTGTAGCAATAGGGTAAACTCTAAAATGTACCTTGATACACCAACGAACTAATATGTGGAATAATAGAAGATGAAAGGGATTAGATAGAAATAAATTATGTGAAAGAAATAAATAAAGGGTAAATATGAATTTTAAAATATAATAAATTTAATGCTGGCTAGCGGCTATGCAGGAGAATGACCTCTTGACAATCAAGGAGGGATTCGGCCAATTTGCATGCCCTACAGAGACCGTAAGATGTAAGAATTAATGACTAGAAACTACCAAGAAATAAACAGAAGAAAGATAAAGTTGCTCTAATGAATGTTTGGCGCCAGGAAGTTGAATGTTTTCTTCCAAGATATCTTGTATTGCTGAAATATTAAAGGATAGGTACCAAGTGAAATCTTAAATTGTTTTAACCCAACTTTAATAAAGACCTATATTATGTACAAATTATTTTAAACCCCTATATATAACAATATTACCCAACACCTCTTATATACAATTAACTAATCTATATTTACAATGAAAACCCTATATATAATGATGAAAACAATTTCCCCCCCTAACGTACCTGATAATGTGAAATTTTGACTAAGGTTATGCAATAGTTAAGTATATAATATAAAAAGAAATATATAATAATATAAATAAAAAATACTACTCACTAATATAATAGTTTTCGTTTAGTAAATGTCTAAATTTTCAAATGAAATGAAACTCTCCGGATATTTGTGCACACAATAACCTGACAAAGAGAGATTCAAGGGAGAGTTAAAACCTCATCCCTTGGTAGACACTAAATAATTAAATTAAGTTACTATGATTAATATTTTATGAAAAGTGAATGTAATTATTATTAGTGATATGTATTGAAATTAAAATGAAACAAAAGTTAAAACCTTGAAGAGGATGTTGAAAAAAGTTATAAAAAATATTGGAATGACAAACAAAAACAAAATAAGTTCTTCCTGCCGGTTTCCGTAGGTTGCCCTGAAAGATGATCCGGTGAAGAACTAGACTCCAGTGGGTAAAAGTACACCAAACCTGGGTTCCATGTATATATAAAAAAATCTTCTTTAAATCCCCATATAACTTAAAATTTCTTCCCCTTCTCCTTAATAAATATAACCCCAAAACTAAAGGTTTCTTCCCTGACTTGTGACTGGGTTCCGGAAGTTGGCGGCTGAGGTGGTCCAAAACTTAAAGTATCCTCGTACAAAACACCCAAAAATAACTTAAATTGTTGTCCTTAAATCAGCGGTTCTTCATAAAAAAAAATAAACTTAAACTAAATTTCTTAAAAATGGCACCTCCCAGCCGCCACTATGATCGATCGATCTGTCTTCGATCACACCCAGTCAACAAGTAATTCTATTAACACTTACAAGTCGTCAAGTCGACGTACTTTCAGAATCTTACACCAGAGGTCGGGATTTAATGCCAACCTTAGAAAGTAAAATTTGCTGGGAGTTATTTAAATATTCAGTTTAAGAATATTTTAAATATGAATTTAAATTAAAGTTAAATTAAAAGACTCCAGTCACAAAAAAGGTAAACGGTTATTTAAGTAACGCACTCGTTACAGGTCCCCCACTCTTTAACAGTGTGCTCTTCATCATCATCAATGGTGCTACAGCTCTATGAAAGAGCCTGGACCTTCCCAAGTCTATTACGCCAGGCAGTCCAATCCATTGCCAACCGTTGCCAGTTTGCTGCGCCTATCTTTCTACCATCCTCATCTACACCATCCTTCCATCTGAGTTTTGGCCTACCCTTTTTCTACTTTCCACGGGTTGTGACATAAGGATTCTTCTAGGAGGGTTGTTCTGCTGTGATCTTGCTAGATGTCCTGCCCATCTTAGTCTTCCTATTCTTATAAGAGATACTACGTCTTTACCACCAAATATTTGTTTATATCTGTGGTATACCTCGTAGTTGTATCTCCTCCTCCAAACACCATTTTCACAGATGCCACCAAATATTCCTCTCAGGATCCTTCGTTCAAATATAAGCAGAAGGTCTTCGTCTGCCTTGGAGATGGTCCATGTCTCCGATCCATATGTCAACACTGGCTGTATAAGGGTTTTGTATTATGGTTATTTTTGTTTTTTGGCTTAAGTTTCTACTTCTCATATGTCTATTCAGTCCAAAATAGCATCTGTTTGCCATTAATATCCTTCGCTTGATTTCTTCCGTTATGGCGTTCTCTTTGGTGATCAGGGAGCCTAAGTATGTGAATTTGTCCACCACTTCAAAGGTAGAGTTATCAACCGTGAATTGGGGACCGATGTTCCTGACTCTATTGTTGGGTGTTGATGCCATCATCTTAGTTTTCTCCTCATTTACTTGCAGGCCCATAGATTTTGAGGCATTTGAGAAGGTGGTATACATTTCTTCTAGCTTGTGTGTTGTGCGGACAACTAGGTCCACATCATCTGCATATGCCAAAATTTGGGATGATTTATTAAAAATATTTCCTCTGTTGTCTATTCGGGCATCTCTGATCGCCTTTTCCAGAGCTATGTTGAAAAGGGGACACGCCAGCGCGTCTCCCTGTCGCAGCCCAACATGCGTTCCAAACGCCTGTGATTGTTCGCCCTGTATTTCGACTTTGCAAACCACATTACGCATTGTAGCCTTAACCAATCTTATCAGTTTATCAGGGATGTGGAATTCATTCATGGCTTCATACAATTTATTTCTTAGGACACTATCATAGGCAGATTTAAAGTCTACAAAAAGATGATATGTATCGATATTAAATTCATTGGTTTTTTTCCAGTATTTGCCTTGCACAAAGATCTGATCTGTTGTTGATCGACCAGGCCTAAAGCCACTTTGATATTCCCCGAGAAGTTCATCTGAATATGCATTTAGGCGACCATATAAGATCCTCGAAAATATTTTGTATGCTGTATTAAGGAGGGTTATTCCCCTATAGTTTCTACATTCCAATTGGTCACCCTTTTTGTGTAGCGGGCAAATGATTCCAATACACCACTCTTCCGGTATTTGTTCCTCGTTCCAGGCTATCAATATAATTTTATATATTTGATTAGTCACAGTAGCACCTCCACATTTAATAAGTTCCGCGGGTATACCGTCACTTCCTGGAGATTTATTGTTTTTTAGGTGTTTTATTGCATCTCGTACTTCTTAAATTGACGGAGGCTCTAATGGTGAATTGTTGCTTGCTCCTGCGGGTGGTTGATTTGGATCTGGATCTTCTACTTCTATAGTAAGTAGGTTTTTAAAGTATTCCACCCACCTTTTAAGTACTTCTTCTTTTGTATTTAGTATATGCCCCTCTTATCCTTACATAGTCTGAGCCTTGGTTTGAATTCCTTTCTTGCATTATTCAGAGTTTTGTACAATTTTCTTCATTTCTTGTTTGGTTTTCCTTTTTTAATACCTCAAGTTCTTCAAATATTCTATTTTCTTGAGTTCGCTTTTTTCTTCTATGAATGCACTTCTCTTCTTTTCTGAGATCTTTATATTTTTGCTGTTTTTCTCGGGTTCTTCTTTGCTGCATCAGTTTATATGCATTGTTCTTTCTTCTTGTAATGTCCTCACACTCAGCATCAAACCAGTCATTATGTGGTGGTGGTCTTTCTGGCCCTAGAATATTATTTGCTGCATCTTTAATATTATTTTTGCACATTTCCCATTGTTCACTAATTGTTAGGTCCTCATGAATTATGTGTTTAGTTTCGATATAGTTTTGAAACCTTTCTACTGTTTGCGGATTTTGGAGGTGTTCAATATTGGGACGCGTTGTTTTGGTACTTCTCTCCTTCTTCGCATTTGAGATTCTAGCATGAATTCATGTGCCAACTAGGAAGTGATCTGAATCAATATTGGCGCCTCGATAGGTTCGGACATCCATTAGGTTTGAGAAGTGTCTGGCATCTATGATCACATGATCAATTTGGTTGTTTGTTAGTCCATCAGGTGAGGTCCAAGTCCACATACATATTTTTTTGTGTAGAAAACATGTGCTTCCTATGATCATGTTCTTTGCGGTTGCGAAGGTGACTGCTCGGTGTCCATTCGAATTGGTATCATTATGGAGACTATATCTACCGATGTGTGGTAGATCCGATTTTTGCGTTCAGATCACCAATTACTATTTTAATGTCATTTCTGGGACAACTGTCAGTGTGCTCTTTCCTATTTTAATTGTTACATTTCTCGGTCATTTAGATTCTTGCAGGGTAAGGATATCTATTGTGTATTTTCCATAATTTGAAGTTTCTTAAATCTCCCTGCTCACAAGTACCTCTCACATTTCAAGTCCCAATTTTTATTATTTCCTTCAATTGTTGCCTTTCTTTTGTGTTTATTTTTCCGTATTCCATGGTCGTATTCCTTTGCCCTTGCGGGCACTTTCAAAATGATTCATCAACATCTAGGGGATCTTTTAAGAACAAGTGGATTAGGTGTAGAGGTTTGTAGCCTCACTATGTCACTTAAAAGACCATAAATATCAGATTTGCTGATAAAACAACTTAGGCCTTTAAGTATATGTCTCTGTATAAGTTAATTTATCACAGCGATGCTAGCTAGAGTGAAACTGTATTTCATATTGCTACCAAGAGTTAAAAAATAAGTTGATTTTATTCTATACCTACAAATTTTTGAAGTAAATATATTAGTTTTTAAAATCACATATACCTGTAGTACAGCTTGACATTTTTGAGCTTCATCTGCTAAAACATGGATCACACTGTAAGGACCTCCTCTAGCCCCAAACAAGTCCAGCTCATTCATAGCTTCGAGAGCAGCCTTTGCCATACCAATAGAACTGGCATTTAATTCAGGCAATCCATGGTTAGTCTTATCACCTCTCTCCCAAACACCATAATCTGGTGTGCAATATGCACACTCAATATAAAATACCAGATTCTGGATGAAGGCTACTTCGTCTAAGTTGAAAATTATTTGCAAGCCAGATGCTGTCATTTGTGCTAAGAGAAGCAAGTAAAGCGATATAGCATCAATCTGTAAGTGACCCCATTCGTTATCACCTAAAATACAGAATAAATACTTGTCAAATAATCAAATGCCTTGTTAAGAATAAGCCACAAGTTATAAAATAAACTATTAATTTGTTGCATTTGTGTGATACTTTGTTTTCCGTCAATATCAATCTCAAATTCTATTTTATTTCATACTTTACATAAAAATTGTTTCCATACATCTTATATGGAACCATAGAAATAATAATCAGCCGGTTGGCTGTGAAATGACTTATTTAATTTTGATAATTTTTTTTGTGAAAATTAGGTAAACATGGTAATCAAGCACAAAGGAAAGATTATTCAATATTAGTTCCATACAGATGTAAAAGTTCAAAAATTACATCATTTGATGGTCCCTTAGAACAATGACCAAATCATTGATCCTGTTAGTTCAGGAAACATGTTTCAGACAGTATTCTAAATTCTAAAGCTAATCAATGAGCTTTATATACTTTCGACCTCGAACTGGGTGGAATGCAAACACTGCCAATACAATTCTATTTGTATAGTTTTGGTTATGACTAACTAATTGCTTATTTTAATTGTTGCAGATACTAGTAATTTAATTTAACTGTATATGCTCAAAATTATTGCTTCACAAACATTTTTATTCATTTGAAAACAAGATGGTAATTAAGATTTGAACTTTAATAGAATTTTATGAAGGTGACACAAACTGGACAAGCATAAATAACACTGGTGATCTTTTGCATGCAGTAAAAGACAGACGTCTGGCCTTAAGATAATTTTGCCAAGGCACTATAGGTGCAAGGCACTATAAGAAAAAGAAGAAGACACATAATGATAAGAAGGACAAATAGTACAGTTTATTATGGCTGATACAAATATTAGTTTATTAAATTATGAAGTTGTCTGTAAATGAATACTACAAGCCATGTCAGCATGCACTGTAGTTGAGATCCTTTTAGTTCCATAACAAACTCTTCTTGATCACTGTAGTATTTCATAGTGTGTACAGTTATTACTTCTATTTATTATTTATACATGGACAAACACATTCATTACACTCACACACACAGGTAACACCACTAACAGGTTCAGTTTACCAAATTGGCATGTGTTTATATTGCATATGTTGTATGCTTTAAATATAAAGAAGGAAAGCTTTTAAAAAGTACATTTTGATTATACTATTTTATGAATTCTGCAATTTTTAATTTATATGGAACAATAACAAGTAAATATTTGTCTCTTTCGAGATTAATTGCAAACATCTGTGGCAATCTGGCAACTGCTGATTTGACAATTGCCAAATCTATCTCCTAATCTATCAAAAGGTAATTGCCAAAAAAATTTCTAATGATTTTCTGCAATTAATCTCCAAAGAAACAAATATTTACTCATTGTTGTTTTATATAAATCAAAAATTGCAGAATTCAGAACATAATATAAACAAAATGTACTTTTCTAAAACTTTCTCTTTTTATATTTGAAGCATACTGCATCTACATTATAAAAACATGCCAACACTGCTAAACCGAATTTTTTTGTTCCATATGTGACATTTGCAGTTATAATCAGCTTGTACTTTGGGTAAACTCAACCCCACTGACCTATTGTAATCTAATAGGTAAATTTTTAACAAAAAACCAATTAGGCATAAATACAATTGTTTATCTTCTAAGACTGATGGACATAATATTGAAATATATAGAAATATTTCATTTCATGTTACTGCATGAGGTTTTAAATATAAAAAGTATGTTAAAGATCTACTTTTTATTACAATGTACATATTTATTTTTGAAGTTTTTGAATGTCTACAATTTTCTTGTATTTCTGGGCAATAAAGTATTACATATTTTACAGAAATGCTTCACATAATTTTCTATTAGCGGTCCAGGTATTCACATTGTTATATTCTTTTTCAATGCTTCATCAATAATATTAATTTTCTTGTACCCTTCTTTTTCTTTTATTACTCCTATTATATTTGTAAATATATTTAAGTAATTCACAATTGTTTTGTCTTAAAAAAAGTTTATTAGTTTAACTCCACTTGTACTTATTTGATTTGATCAATTTCATCATTTTATTTATAAAAGATCATGATCTTTTATCTTGCATATAATCTGTGGTGAACTAGTGTAACATGAATCTAGTTTTATGCCAATACATAGTGGCCTTCAAAAGTTTCAACAGTTTTTAATTGTGAGGTTAAAGATTATTATATTATGATCTGTTAAATTGATACATAGTTTTCAAATAAATCTCATCTGGTTAATACTGGTTTTATTAGATAATAAGCAAGATAAACATTTTTGAGAAAAATAATAATTTTCCAAATTCTTTTGTACTTTTCTTCATGGTCTCTTCTGTTATCTATACTTTATACTCAAAGGTCCAATGTAGTACAATGTTAGTGGAATAAATCAATAGAATTCCTTTTAAGTACTTAATATTTTTATAAGTAGCCAGCCACACATCTGATCTAATTACTTTAACTTTTTTGCCAACAGACAACTAGAGCTTTAATTTAACTAATAACTAATAATCATTAATAGTTACGAATAGTTAGGAATATTTACATTAAAAGAATGATCTAAAGAATACTTTATATAGTATAAAGCCATCTCTCTTGCATGAACCCTGCTGTATCTGTAGTAAACAAAGTAAATGAAAAGAATATCATATAATTAATGTAACCTAACACTAACACTGGTACTACCTCTCTTTGACAAGCACTGGGCCCTGATTCTATTTCATTTCGATGTCGAAATTTAAAAGCGACTACGCCATGACAGTCGCAATCGCTAGCGATTCTCATTCATTTCGATTTTAGTTAAAAGTGGGGACATTTACTTTATCATTTTGACACTGCTCAGAATTTGAGTTGGCCGTCTTGTTTATTGGCTGCACGCTTGTTAAATGTTTGTTTTGTTTACATTTTACGATTTTTGTTTCTTGTTTGAGTTGTTAAATTTTTAGTGGCCAAATATAATCATTTTTAAATGATTATATTTTGAATTGAAAGAAAATGGATGGAGGCTGTTGGTGATGGTGGCACTAAATTGTCTGTGGACCAAAAAGAAATTATGATGGCTTTTGATTTAGTGGATATATTATATTTTTAAATTTACTGCAGCTTAGTATTGGTATTACTAAAAACAATACATTACCGCTCTAAAAAATCTTGATGAGTTTAAAGATTATTTTATATCTCCAAATAAGAGTGTAGAAGTAAAATAAATTATACCAACCAAATTATTTATTATTTCTATCTTCCATTACAGCCTGTTGAATATATTCAAAAATTGTGGTTTCCAATTTAGTTTTAATATTGGGACATTTTATTTCTTTAATTTTTACACCACAATATATTTTAAAAAATAATCAGTAGCATCTGGCTTGGTACCCACAGGTACCGCAGTTCTATTTTTATAGGTGTTAAAATTTCGACCAATTATGTGCCGAATCACATACAATTTCTAATAAAACGCAGCCATATTAATACTTTTTTGCCTCAGTTTTCGTTGCAACAATCAAACAAAACAACACCGCCTCTGAACCTAACCTCGCTTCTCCCAGTCCCGCTAGTCATGTCAGATTAATTTCGACTCGAAATTAAATTTCAACCACTTTCTTGAAGTTGAAATTAATTTCGATAAATCGAAATTTAGTGACGTCCTTTGGTTAGTTCAGCTGAAATCCACTAGGCTCGCAAAGTCACATTTCGATGTCGCCATATTGATTTCAACATGTTTTCAGTCGAAATCTCAATTAGAATCAGGGCCCTGATGTGACTTTAAGTGAGAGTGCCCACAAAACTGGCGTGGCACATAGCAAGTAGCAAGAAGCACGCATCTAGCATGCTACTTATAATGTAACCAATGAAAATGATTGATTAAACGCACACCAAAATGACAGTGACCTTATTTGATCTAATCATTCGTTTGTATTGGTTACATTTTATGTAACATACTAGATGCATGCTACTTGCTACTTGTCACGTGCCACTCCACTCTGGTGGGTGCTCTCACTAATAAAGAACACTCATCCACATTTAATCAAAGTTTTCATGATTATTATAGACTTCAGAGATTATTTTAGAATGAATTTTCCATTTCTAATTTGCACTTGGAACAATAATCATTCAGAATTACCTTAAGCATTTATAAGATCCTTTCTACATGTACTATTGGTACTACAATGGAACTTCAACTTTTTAAAAGTAAGGTTCTAAAACTGTTTTCTTGTGTCATGTCCAAGTTAAATATTATGTTTATATGAGATTAATCCACAATTTATCATAATGAAAATTAATGTATTTGTAATGTAATTTTCATTACAATAAATTGTGACTTAATTCCTGTAAACATATTTAATTTTTAAAAGTATTTCTCCCAATTTTCAGTCAAACCCAAAAAATTGCATATTTCCAACTACCCCTCAACACTTATTATATCCATACATATAATAATATTAATACACACCTCAAATATCTTAAAAATTCCAAAATATAGAATTATAGATATAAATTGCTTGTATATTATATTTAAATATGATATAAATATTGATGTATGATATATATTATTTGTTATATTGTAATACTGAAATATACTAATTATTAATACATTACCTACGACAACTTGACCGTTGACAGAAGAGTATTTAGCATGTAAAGAATCTAATGGATTTTGCGTTTGTTTAAATCGCTCGACTTTTTCCTTCTGCTGCATCATACACATTAACAACCCCCTCATTAACTTTACACAAGACTGTTCTAATTCATAAGTTTTAGCTCTATCTTCGTCTTGATCTGCTATTTTTTTATACGACATGGAAAGACCCCAAACTGATAATATACAGTAAACATTGTCTCTGATCCAAGCATGACTATTTTCTAAACTGGCTGGAAATAATCCTGTAACAGGATTTTGATGTTCCATTATAACCTTATGTACTAGACGTTGGTAATAGTCCAGGCGGACGCCTGAATTACTTCGGCTCCTCATTTTTCTTAAAGTATTTCAATCTTAAACTTTTCACTTAAAACTATTTTTAAAGATCAAAACATAATTAATCAAGGTGATTTAAATGACAGATTTGACACTTGCGATGACATGTGACAATATGTCTACACTTCTTTTTTAAAACTTCTACTTGTTGTGTTCACAGTTCCTACAAAAATCAAATAAATATTCATTTGAATTTTTATTGTTGTTTATTTCAAACATAGTATAATTGCCCGTTTTAAAGTAAATTAAAACAGCAATTATAACTTTTATATTTTTTTACAAAAAATATGAACGCTGGCATATAAGTAATGATTGCACCCAGCTCTAGTGTTTTTTTATAGACGGCATATAGAACGCTTCTAGACGCTTAAAAGCGTCCTAATTTCAGAACTAAGACTATTTATCGAATGTTTATATAAATCGAATTAAAACTCAAAAGACACGCAAGAGAAATAAATTTTTATACAAAGAAAACAAACATCAAAATATAAATCTAATTATGGTTTATAAAATTGCAATTTAAACAATATTCAGGAATTCCTGAATATGTTTCACATCATTCTACGTTCTTTTTATTGCTTCATACATATTTTGCACCCTTTTCTTCTTATCTGTTTATTCCTGTTTTCTTAGTCGATGTTTACATTTAGATGTTAATTCTGGAGTAGATTTAGCAACGGGAGGCAATAGATGTTTTATAATGGGCAAACCTAAAATCATATAGTGGCAACTTGCCATTCAAATATTTATTATATAAATGAAAAGAGTTTGTAAGCAAAGTCAATGACATGAAACAATAAGTGCCTAATTTTGTTGGCCATCTTATTGTTTTTTTTTTCGGACAGGTAGTTGGACATCATTTAATGGCTTTAAATTTTTTTCTTTTCTTTTATTCTTTACCTCGATCGTCTTTACTCGAGATTTACATATGATGCGCATTGTAATTATAAAGGACATCTCTTTCATTTTTCTCTCCATTTGCCAATAATTACGTCTTCAGCATACCTGGCGACTGTTTCACCTTTTTTATTTAGCAGTAGTAACATCTATTTAGTTTCTTAATATTGTTCTGAGGCTATTTTCTTGTGGCATTTTAAAGCAATCACTATTTAAATCGGAATAAGCCACAGTTAAAGGTTAAATTAAGTTTATTGACGTTTTAATTTCCACTTCGGGAATGGTGCTGAAAATACAAACATTAGTGATATAAACTAATGCTTGTTCTTCTGACTTTTAGAAATCGAGTTGTATTTCCCATCTATATATTTACCAGTATTCGAGTAAAGGGCTTGTTTGTGTGGTTGAGTGAGCTGATGCGCCTATTTTTCCAGATTAAAGTTATTTTATTTTTTATAAAGGAGGATTGTAATCCAATTTTTACATTTATTTAAGATTTTTTCGTTATGCAGACATATATTGAGAGCGTTTGTATTCGTGGTATCAAAAGTGGACCCACTTGTTTATTTGCTTCAGTGATTGCAGCATCTATCCCCGGAGCTGTATCACTTCTATTATATTCCAGGTAATAAAACAAACAAAAACAGAGTCGAAGGACTAAATGAGGCTGTAATTCGTAAAACTCCTCTTTGCTATTTGATTTACTTTTCAGTAGCAACAAAAAACATTGCAGGTTTCATGTAAATTATATTTTCGAAATATTATATTTTTTAGCCAATACAATATAATTCATTAATAATAAGTAATGATGACCGTAAATTTAAATCATAGTTTTCGAAAAAAAAAAAAATAATAAATAAAAATAATATCTAAATTAATGACGAATTAATGACTGAAACTCACTAGAGTTTTTTTTTAATAAAAAGTATGTTAATTTAATCACAAATAACGTGTTACAAACATTTAAAAAGGTTTTAAAATTATAAAATTTAGTTTCAAGTATTTTTTTTTAAACTAAGAAATAAAAGATGATTTTAGTGTCGTTTTCGTTCTCACACCAATCTTGATTACTTTCACTTGTTATCAGCAGTTTGTTTTATTGTCTATTCGCTTAGCTAGGGCATATTTTGACCATCGAGCAATAAGACAAAAGAGATAATCTAATCCTTATGAAAAGGAGACCATAAAAAAGTGGCCTCTGATGGCGGACATATCCGGAAATGCGAATGCGCCAAATTTAAATTTTCCGACACTTATTAGTAGTAGCTATATAATATTTTTCAGAATGTCTCTTAGACGAGAAAGTTTTAATTACTTATTAATGATAAGAGTCTAAAATGCGACACAATTGTTAAAAAACTTCAATATTAATAAGATTTTATGTGACATTTGGGACAAACAATAACATAACCCAACTAAATTTGATGTCAAACAAGGAGAGAGACTCTCTTTCCTTGTTTAATTTGGCCTCTAAAGATCGCACTTCCTGTCTAACAATATGTTTGCCCCCACTACCTTTACATTCCCTCTTTTGCACGGTTCCTAGACTTACTACGGTTGCCTCTTCCGCCTAACCAATGAACATTAAGCCGGATTGTACTCCTGTGACGTAATTTGAATCTTAACATTCAGCCCTGTGATTGGATGGATGTATCAAAACAAAAATGTTTTATAAATAAAGTAGGTTGATTTCATGTAATCAAATGAACTATTTTACAATAAAGCCAAGTTAAAGTTATTTATTTATGTTAATATACAATAAAGTACTTACATATGTCAAAAAATAGTATAAAATAAAAATTAACATATTAAATAAGGTATAATAATGCAAATATACGTTAAGGCAAACATTACACAGAATATTATATTCTGGGTTCCCAGGTATACACAAAAGAAGATTCATCATCATCAATACACAAGCCAGTTCGAAACATTAAAGTTAAAATTTAGGAATTCATCACTTGAAAACTGCTTCCCCTTCAACCAAAGGACTCTTTGCTTCACCACAATACTCAAAGATATCATTAAGGTTAATTTCCATTATTAAATGATACAAATAACTCGTCTTAAACCAAACTAAACATGGAAAAGCAATGGTAAATATTCGAATGTTATGTTTGTTTTTGTTTATACCATTTATAACTGCCATGACACTGCAATCGACCTGCCCTCTACATTCAGTTTCAATCGCGAATAAATGGGTTTTGTATTCTTGTGTACTCCTGTGACGTAACTCAAGCATCCCCACCATAGTCGGAAGAGGCAACCGTATTAAGTCTACGAACCGTGCCTCTTTTGTCTTTTTGCTCGATGATTTTGACAGACTCATTGTTGGAAACCTACAACACAACAATTCCTACTTCTCAGTATTAATAGCTTAAGTATACTACTATTGTAGACTTCTTTCTTAAAAAAAAAAGAAGAATTATTCTAAATAGTTGAGGTGTATACTAAACCCATCAAATTTTCCCTGTATAAATATAATATTTGAATTATTGTTACAATTTAAAATATTGTAGTAAATATTTGTATTATTCGCGTTGTTTATTTAATTTAATATAGTTTTATTGTTTTATTATCTTTGTTTAATTCTTTTGTTAGTTCTATTCAGTTAATTAGTTAGTTATATTTTAAATTTTATTATTATGGATAGTCAAAGTTTTCCATTTGTTCCATCAGCTAATGCGTTGGTAAGTTTTTCTTAATAAATATGATAAAATGTTTTTTAAAAGTTAATATTTTTAGATTAGTTGTTTCTAATTGAATATAGACTTGTGTATACTTACATGGAGGTTTTTGTTGTTTGTTTGGGTTTATATGACTGCAGACTGCGGCCAGGACACCACAGATCACCTGGAGTGGTCTGTGCAGGACACTGAATTCATTCACCATATGTGGAAGATTTTAACATCCTCAAATGCTAATGAGCAAAAATTACTATTGAACCACGAATTTGCCTAGTCAAATTACTAATATTTGCTTTTAGCATATGGAAGTACACTTATTTTGTAAGATAATAAAACAACAGTTTATGTTAATGTTATCCAATGAACTCTTAATCTTTAATCATTGATTCCATCCTATAATATAGTCACAACATAAGGAACTTGCTATGTCTTATTTAACCTCACTTTGACTTTTTAATTTTGTAGAATTTATTCCCACTTTTTTTATTTTGTACAATAAATAATTTTATTATTTGCTATCAATACATTATACGGTGTAAATAAATAAATATTGATTGTCGGCAAAGTTCTATTTTATTTACTTTTGTTTACATTAATATTGACTAAGAGCACGTATGCTTGGTTGTATAGTAATTTCCAGCCACTTCGAGTCTGTCAAGAAGTAACTAACTTCGCAAAAAAATAATTACTAAAATCACTAGACAGTTCGGACTGGGAATAGCGAACCGGGTATAGGATGTAATTGTAGAAGTCTAATTTACTTACCGGTGCACGTCATCTGCGTCATAGCCTGTGACGTCACATGATACCAACACGAAATATTTAGGCGATAGGTGTGTTCTTTTTTAGAATCACTTTGCCGAGTACACTGGAATGACAGCCACTAGACATATTTTATTATATACGCGTAGAAATATTTTTCAAAGATTTCTATTAATGTTAAGTTAAAGAAATACACAATAATATGTTTCATTTAATTTGTATAAATGCATTATAAAGCGTTTTTATGAAAAACATTTATTCAGAACACACTGTAACTGTAATCAAACGAAGGTAAAATTTTGCTATAAATTGGTAACACTTATTTGACAGATGCCCGGATGACACTTTTTGTATTTTATTATTTTGAATGTTAAAGTGAATACGTCTTGTTTTATATTTTTACCTATTTAATTAAATATGTTCTTTTTAGAACAGAATTAGTGTGTTTTATTTCAAAAAGGTCACGTAAGAATTTAAAGAAGTAAGAATTTAAATAGTCGTTGTAAAAAGATGGTAATACTTTTGCAATAATTATGTGACCTATTTAATTTAAAATGGTTTCAGGATTTTTTTATACTTTGGCAACTATGTCAACTTCGATCTCTGTCAATGATAATGACGTTCAACGGTAAGTAAATTAGATAGAGTATAGTTCTGGTAGTTTTTTCCAGTCTTCACCATAATTCTTATCCAGCAAACTAATAATTGAAGCTTTATGGCCTTTAAGTTCGTTGGTTAGTAGTACTTCACCGGGCTGAATGGATAGTTTTTAACAAACAGTTTTAAGCCTAGTTTGCACTATGCTAGCATTTTAGTCGAGTAGCGAGTAATTTAGTAACTAAAATACTCACTACTGCCCAAAAATCGTTCGCACTTGTACGAGTAGAGTTTGTCAGGAATATTTTGTCTACCACATAGGGTATTACTATAAGGGGTTAAAATTGGGAACAGAAGTTACTGGGGGTAGAGATAGGGCAAGCAAAATAAACGAAACTCATGCGAACTGCTCTCAGGGTTTATTTGGAGAAACTGGGTCGTGGATAAGTGAATGACAAGGCTGTTGGATTGGGGCAACTACAAAAAATTAAACAAAGGGGTACTTACATGAATCTCCTGGATAAAAAAAAAAACAAGAAGATCCTCTAGCTATTTAAAATAAGGACATCGCTTCCAGGAAACTTCCTGCCGGATGAAAGAAAAAGGCTCTTCCTGCCTAAAAAATACAGGAAAACGGGTTAGAATCTTTTTTAAAATAAATAGACAAAATGGTTTAGGGAAAAAAATTAAACATTTATTGTTGTCTTACCACAAACAATTACAAATACAGATAATACAAAAATATCGAAAACAGACTTACTATGTCCCATTTCTCATATATTAATAGCTTTAAAAAAATAAATACAATAACAAAGAGAAACACTTGCTATGTCCTATCCGTTTACAAACTCTAGAAGTTGGAGATACTACTATTGTTACTAGGCTATAATTTGTAGCAGAAATAAATTATTAGAAATAAAGAATTATCCTTTTTATTATCAGGTATTTATCAAATGTCAAAAATAATAAAGCTAGCTGTCATATCTCAAAACTAAATCTTAAAACGAAGAATTAATAAAATGACAGCTAAGACGCGCCCTCCAATCTACAATTTTAATTATTCCAATTTAAATTGTTTCGAAAGAAATTATTAATGAAGTATTGTCTATTTTTACCTTAAAAGTTCAAAAAAAAGTTACCTGGGTTTCCCTAAATTACTTTAAATTTTCTGGGGTTAGAAACTGGAATTGAAACTCTCTGCCACTCGAACAAAAAAACTGCATCTCACCAATTGTATTCTGAAACGGCTTCTTAGGACATACAGATTTGAGGTTGAAGCTGGCACATCGGACACAATCCCTCCAAACTCGGCTTCTAAAAAACTGGACAATGGAACACGTGAGTATCTTTCAGCGTTGTTGTAAACGCCGTTTTACAAAAATCTCATATGAGAGACGACATACAACAAGAACTAATGATTACTCCTATTTGAACTGACACATTACTTTGAGTATAAATCACTTTATTTCCATAAATTCGCCGGTTTTTTTTTTCGACTTAATTAAACACGTCTGCTTACCATCACCAACATTTTAAACCTGACTTTCGACCTTCGATCGATCTCTTTCGTACCGGCATCCAGCGTTTCCTTACCCCGCCCCGCGTCAAGTCGATGGGGCAAGCGAACCGGAATTCTTGTCAAACCGCTTCAAATTATATCGTAAAATGACCTTGAATCATTCCCCGTTTTTAAAATCTCAAAACTAACGCATATAAATAAATCTAGCCATATTTAACGTCGTAGTTATAACTGGAATTTGGGATTTTTTTACATAAAAAATAAACAGAGAATCGGCGAAATATTTTATATTTGGCCTAGGAGCGTACTAGAAAATTTTTTAATATTGAATATTATATAGTTAAGGAATTTAATTATGCTACAAGTTCACAAGTAAGTTGTGGTTTGCAAGATGAACAGCCTACAATGCAGTAAATAAATAAACTGATTATGCTAATCGTAACTGCTATTTTAGAAGAGATGCATGAGGAAATTTATGTGGTTAACAAAAAGAAGCTACGTATACGAAAATGGATCGATAAAAGAGATAAACTAGTAGTTACCAATTGTCTTCTGAAGGAATTAGCATTGGAAGATCCCAAAGAATATTTTGATAGATTTAGAATGTCTGAAAGTTGGGTAAATTTTTGTTGATGAAAATACACTGATACATACGGCGAAAAGATATCGTACCTACTACAAGATGTTTATTTGTAGTTGTAGTTTGTTTGTGTGTTCTTATAATGCGGGGACTTAATATTCCACAAGCATTCATGTTCTAAATATTTAGAAACGAATTTCAAACTTGTTTCTTCGCCCAGCGAAGCGATATTTTTGCGTCAACTAATGCACTCGACTAATTCGAATAGTTCGGACTTGTTTAGCCGGTGTGTCAGTGAGCGGTGGGAGAAAAAATAAAATCAAATATATCGACCTGACTAAAATACTAGCATAGTGCTATGCTAACATACTAATACTAATGTGCAAATTCTCACAAACTCGCTGTTAATAGTGAGTATAAAGCATTTTAGAATTCAACTTGGATGGTAAATAGACAGGCACACTAGTCTTGCTCCTACAATAGTGAGATTTTACGTATGTTAAAAATTCTAAATCTTTTTTAATCTAATCTATATTATCTAATCTATATTATATAATCTTTTTTAAATCTCTTCGTTCTTTCGGAAGCTCCATTTCGGAAGTATTCTTTGAATTCGGTTTCCACTAAAATTCGTGATCACTAGAAACGAATTTTAGCACACTCGTATCAGTTTTCCATCTATTTCTTCATCATTTTTCAAACATTATATTGAATCGATACTTGAGCATGATTGGATTTTCCTCTCTTCGATTTATTTCCTGTGCAACAGTTTAGTATGAGATTATCCTGCCTTAAATTTAGATTCATACATGTAACTATGGAATTTTTTAATATCATTCATTGTTAAAGTTTTGCAAAAATACGGTTGTCCAGGTTTACCATCGTGACCATAAGTCGGAAAGTTTGGAAGAAAATGTAGTGTATACATACAAATATTATAATTTTACCTATGTAGTTCTTGCTAAAGCGACTGTAAAACTTTTTCATACAATTTTTCAAACAAAGCCATACCTATTCATATTTTAACATGCTTAGCATAGTTTTCCTGTTGTCGCTCAATCTTGCGTGCTTTTTCTCTTGGAGGAGGTATAATCGCAGAATTACTATTTTTTAGCTTATCCATGCCAGCAAATCACACCAAAAAGAAATTGATATTATACGGCAATACTCAAAGGAAGTGCTATTGAAACTAAAAAACATACAATATTCGATTCAATATGTGTAAACACATTGAATCGTCACACATATGACGTTTCACGTCTAAATTTAGATAAAGAAAAACTGAGAATTCAAGTAAAGAGTTTTAAAAATAATCAGCAAAATTTTTACCAGATTTTATATGGTAACGAGGTAATTATGAAAGATTTTAACGATAGTACGCTCCTTATTGAAAATTTATTTAACTTAGCGAAAAAAGTGAATTTTTTGATTGATATTTGAACGACCTCAAATACGGAATTCATAGATATTTATACAGACCTCAAATACGGAATTCATAGATATTTATGCAGATAAAGAATATTAGAGAGAATTGCTGGAATGAAATATTAGACAACGATAACATCGAAAAAAACTGGGAAAAACTCAAAAATATCATAATTGACTCAGCAGTAGAATCACTTGGAGAGGAAAGTAACGAATATAACAAAAAAGAAATCCTTTTTACAAAACAGACTACATTAAACACAACAGGCATACAACCACTATAAATGAATCAGAAAGTAAACCAATACTTTAGTCAGACAAATAAAAAGGGAACGCTGACACAGATTTTTAAAACTAATGAAACATGACTTCCATGGAACAGAAAAAGAAATATGGAGAATGATCAAGGGACAAAGAAAAGAGGTGATCTAAATAATACAAACATTTAGAAGGAAACACATTCAGAAGGAAATGATAATGAACTATCAATGTGATGATAATTAAATATTGAGGAGAAAGAGGTAAAGGAAGCACTAAGGAAATTAAAAAATAGAAAACCACCAGGAGATGACGGAATACCAAATATATTCTTAAAGTAGGAGGACCAAATCTGACTGAATAACTCTTAAAACTAATCCAAAGAATAATAGAACAAAACAAAATACCACAATAATGTAGATCAACCACTCTAATACCTTTCTTCAAAAAGGGAGACAAATCGGACCCTCAAAATTACAAAGGAATTCATTTATTAAACACGACACTAAAATTAATAACCACAGCTATAGCAAGTAAACAAAAAAGGATGCCAAATGGGAGAAAAACCAATTAAAATCATCTGATATGCAGACGACGCAATACTATTCTCTCAAATTGAAGATGATTTACAACGTATGCTGCATCAAATTATTATAATCGACAGAAAATTTAATATGTTAGTTTCCCCAAAAAAGATAAAATGTATGGTTATAATACCACAACTAAGATGAAAATTGGATTTGGAAGGTTAGATAATAGAACAAGTGATGGAGTTTAAATATCTAGGCATTACACTATCTAGCTACGGAAAGCTTGAAACAGTAGTAGAAGATCAATTCAATAAATAGCCGCTGGTTGCCTGAATGAAACAAATGGAAAAATAAAAATGTCGGGAAGGAAATGAAATGCAGAATTTACAAAACAGTTATCAGACCAATAATGACATACGCGGCAGAACATGACCTGACACAGAGAGGAAAAAAATAATGTTACAAATAGCAGAGATTGAAACTCTTAGAAAAGTTGATGGTAACACACTATGGGACAGAGCTAGAAGTTCAGATATACGACATAGATGCAATATGAAGAACATCAATTACTGGATAAAAAATAGAAAAGTAGAGTGGAATGATCATATAGCTGAATGACAAAAAATAGAGTAGTAAAGACGACGAGAGACGGTTCCCCAATAGGAAAACAATCATTAGCACAGACCACTTTTGTGATCATTAGGAAGACCACGAAAACGACGGAACGACAATTTACTGGATGTACATTAAAAAAGGCAGAGTAATGTCTACATAAAATGAAAAAGAAAAACATGAAGATATTCCAGATGAAAATTGTTTTCTTTTCTTGATGTCGCACTGGGGGAATGAAAATTCCCCCAGTGCGACATAGAAAACTGACACAAAGCAGTCCATGCATCTTTTTATGATGGGTCGGGTGTATCGACCACGTGACGTTTCCATTAGTCATTTAGGTCACGTGGACAAACAATCTAGCCCATTAGAAAGAGATGTAGGGACTGCTTTGAGTCAATTTTCTCTGTCGCACTGGGGAAACGACCCAATATTGCAAGGCACAGTATATTTGTATTATATGTCTATGATTCTGATTAATAACATTCTAATCACAAAATTAAGAAGTTCTCGTGGCGAATAAAACTCGTACTGGATTAAAAGAAGGTTTAACAGAAAGCAGAAGAACTATAACTTTACAAAACATTTAAAGATCGTAAAGAAAAAAATATATGTCCTATTATGCGATACTACCTATTTGTTGCTTCACTGAATATTTTATATATGTATGTGGGAACAAATCACAGTCAATTGTAATACAAATTACATTTTTGATTTGTTTTTAACGTTTCCAATTCGAATATAATTTTTAAAAAAATTCCGAAATAAAATTTATGAGAAAATTGATAAATACTAATATATAACTTATTCGGCAAACCGTATAAGATGGGCAGGTCACGTGGATGACATAGTGTTAAAGACAGCGTATTTTGAAAGACCAGATGGTAGAAGATCAGTAGGCCGACCGAGAAAAAGATGAAAGGATGATGTTGAATCCAATTTATCTAGAATTGGGGTACAACAATGGGAAATACAAGTGCAAGTACATTAAAAAAGGCCCTGAGTTTTAAAGCCAGTAAAGAAGAAGAAGAGGAATACATAACTTATAGGTTAAAATCAATTTTTCCACACTTTTTATTTCAGATTTTTTTTTTTTGAAAATGATTTCTGAATTGAAAATCGAAGCGCGAAAAATAGAATAATAAATCTACTATTTATGACAATTAATTTGAGTCTATTTTCATAGATAAACCATTCAGTTAAAAAAACTCCGTAACAAAATAATTTTATATACATGTTGCTTGATAATACATTGCTAAAATTTTGGATCTTAAGACAAATATCTATTTTTATGCGATATTGCGTGCAATAAGAAAGTACTTTTAATTAAAAAACTTACAAAAGTTAAAATATATGTCGGACGCCTGCTGAACTGAAATCATGATTAAAAGCTCTTTTAAGGACTTTTAGCATATATTAAAATCTCCAAAATGTTTCATTTTTAATCAAACCTTAAAAAATGTGACTTGCCGTTATTGCCGCTTTTACGATTCTATTATTTAAAACAAACAAAAATCCCATTTCGAAATCGAACACGAAAAAGCAGCGGACACTATAAAAAAACAAAAACTTTTGGTAATGGAAGTTCTTTTTTGTTAGATATTACTTCTTTGTTAATTGTCCCTTTGTAGTCCGATTTCACTTCAGTTGCCACAGTCTGTTCATTAAAGTATAGCCCTTTCCTTCTTTCCCTGTTTCTTTTTCCGTTCATTTCCAACAGTGGCGTCTGTATTATAAGAGACTGCGACTTCAAAGCGAACTTTTTACTCTAACAAATAAAATGTGGTACAAACGACAATTTTGGGCTTTAACATTTACATTAGCTTAATTACTCGTAACGATGCATGTATATTTACAAACGTAAATACAATGCTGACCAACCCGATACCCAGACTGGTGAATACTTGTAATTTTAACACTAGTATTATTTAATTAAAGTTATAATTAATATTATGTAAGTAAATTTTAATTCTAAATATTTCTCCACGTCTAACTTCTCTTAGACTTTTGGCGGTGGGTGTTTTTTAATAAGTATATTGTTTTTGGGTTTCGGTGGTTTGGAATTATTTTATGTGACGTTTCGTCTGCAACTGCGACATACATTATCAAAGGCAATGCGGTCGTGAACGATTCGTTACTCATTGAGCCAAGAAGGAATAATTCCCGACCACGGTCTACAAACCTCTAAAACACTGGCCATTATATTAATGTTAATCCTTTGTAATATT